AATAACCATCAGTGCCACAGGAATGCTGTATTTACAGTAATAAATTTTGCTTGGGGCTTTCAGATTTATTTTACTTTAGTCAAAGACTTCATCCACTGAGAAGTAAATGTTTTCAAATGGAGTAAAAAGGAAAATATGATGAAAAGTTTTTTCTTACTCAACATCTCTATAATCCTTGAAACATGGCACAAGGTTTGTTTAATAAAATAAATCTTGTTACAGAAAGATGAGGTAAATTTTTTTTTTACTTTTGTTTTCCGAAGAGAATTTTTCTAATAGTTCAGGGGAAAACAGGTATTTATAGGCAAATCATATGAAGCTTAAACTTATATTCAGCTAGGAAGTGAAATGGCTTTATTTATTTTGTATCTTAAACTTTTCTGCTAAATTGGAAAATTCAAAATTCAATTAAAAATTGGTACATTTTGGTACAGTTTGCCAACATAAAAGAGAAAGTCTTTTCTAGATCAGACTCATGAAGTCCTCTCAGAAGCACTGATGAGGCTGTGTATTTAATATCTGTTATCTCCAGGAACAAATCTGAGGCCAAGGAGATGTCATTTCAATGGCACCTACTTTCTATCTATTAAATACAAACCATTCCATTCTGGAACCATCACTCGAATTGGAATTGTTCATACTAAAGAAATAACATGGTCCCTTTAAAATAAAAAAAAAGCATTTTGATAGTTTGCTATATAACTTCATTTGCTTTAGCATTCTGAGAAAATATTTAAACAAGTACAGGAAAAAATGCATACATTTATCCAGATGTCTGTTGTTTCTTCATAGATAATTAGTGGCGTCACAGAGTCAGGCACTGACTCAATGAGTCTCTGCCTTTCCATAACATCATCTTCTACTGGGATAAATAATTCAGGTGAAATCAACACTATTTGTAGGCGAGTTTGGGAGCGATCTAGTAGGATGGACCAAGCACTATTTAAATAAATAAAAGAGAAGAACCAGAAATAAAGCAAGCTATCAGAAAAAGAATCCTCTATATCTCATTTGGCACCTATCAATTATATCTATAATCACAATGAAAGAACTGCTTTAGTGTATATTAAATTATCACTTACAAATAGTTAATTAAAAATACACTTTAAGCTTGAATAGAATTTATAAAAAGTGGTTTTCTTGAAATGTCCAAAACCACAGTTGACCAGTGAAAGTGTTTTATCCCTGTAGGTTGGCATGAGCCTATAATCCCAGCACTTTGGGAGGTCAAGGTGAGAGGTCTGCTTGAGGCCAAGATTTCAAGATTACAGTAAGCTATGATCATGCCACTGCACTACACTCTGGGTGACACAGAGAGAGACCCTGTTTATATAAACAAAAGTTCTGCCAAGTGCAGTGGTTCACACCTGTAATCTCGGCACTTTGGGAGGCTGAAACAAGAGGATCACTAGAGCCCACGAGTTTTGAGACCAACCTGGCAAAATAATGAGACATCGTCTCTACAAAAAATGAAAAAAATTAGCTGGACATGGTGGCATGTCCCTGTAGTCCCAGCTACTCAGGAAGATAGCTTTAGCCGGGGAGGTTGAGGCTGCAGTGAGCCATGACTGCACCACTGCACTCCAGCCTGGGTGACAGAGCGAGACCCTGACTCAAAAAAAAAGTTTTCTCCCTTTAGTATCAATGTCAACAAATGCCAGTCTTGTGAAACTCCTGCTGTCTACCTGAGACACAGAAACTATTTATTTGTAATAATCCTCATATAAAGCTCTACAATTATACAATTTTTAAAAATATACATTTATGTGTGAGCCTTCAAGTCATATAATTTAATCACAAATAACACTATGAACCATAACTGGCTGAGTATACAGACAGAATTAAACTGCAGTGCACCTATGCTTATAGGGTTACAAATGCACAAATCCACTTAATGCAAGAAAAATGCCTTGTGCAGTAATAACTGTACTGCAAATTTACATGTGAAGGCAGCTCCAACTACAAGGCAAACCTAACAGCACAAATATTCCAAAGCTCTGGATCCTAAATTAGTTATAAAGAAGTAACAATTTAACATACGCACTATTTTCCCTCGGGAGTCCATCCAGCTCTGGCAATATATTCAACTCCTTCAAATAGAATCTCAAAAGGTTGAATTAGTTCCTTATCTATGACATCCATAATCTATTAAAAAAGAAAAAAAAGAATCTAGTTATAGAAGATTTAGATAAATAATTAGCTTGCTAGTCTACTTTAACAATTATCCAAAAAGCAGGAAATTTTTCCAGAGTTCGGTATTAAAAAGGCACAAAGGATATAACAAAACCAGGAGTAAATTCGGGGTTACCTATACTGGTACTCACTTTTTGTGCCTAAAAAAGTTCTAAGCACTTTTAACACATCCTAAAAGTCTATTTCTTGGTTAGTTGATACTAACAGAACACTTGATAATAACTGGTAAAATCAAGTTTTAATCACCTTAAACTCGGGTATCCAGAAAAATAATAATCCCTAATTCCCTATATTTCACCTAGAAATATATATATACACACACACAGTAATCATATTTTATTTATACATATGTGTGTGTGTGCATATATATATATTTGAGACAAGGTCTCATTTTGTTGTCCAGGCTGGAATGTAGTGGCCTGATCACAGCTTACTGCCTTCGCAATTTCCCAGGCTCAAGTGATCCTCCTGTCTCAACCTCCTGAGTAGCTGAGACTACAGGTAAGGTGTGTGCTTGTAATAAAATTAAATAAAATATTAATTTTTAAATTTTTTGTAGAGATGGAGTCTCCCTATGTTGCCCAGGCTAGTCTCAAACTCCTGGGTTCAAGTGATCCTCCTGCCTTGGCCTCCCAAAATGCTAGGATTACAGGCATGAGCCAGTGTGCCCAGCCTAAAATATATTTGTATAACATATATATTTATAATTATGTATATATGGTGGGGTTTTTTGTTTTTTTGAGATAGAGTCTCACTCTGTTGCCCAGGCACCATCTCAACTCACTGCAACCTCTCTCTCCTGGGTTTAAGTGATTCTCCTGCCTCAGCCTCCTGAGTAGCTGGGATTACAAGCATGTGCCACTGCGCCCAGCTAATTTTTGTATTTTTAGTAGAGACGGGGTTTTACCATGTTGGCCAGGCTGGTCTCGAACTCCTGACCTGAGTGATCTGCCTGTCTCCCAAACAGTTGGGATTACAGGCATAAGCCACCATGCTCGGCCCATTTGTGTAATATATTAAAGAAATAGCCCCGGCCGGATAAGCAAACTTTTTTCTTTTAAAAGTCTAGCAAACACACAGTAAAAAATAAATAATTTTTAAAAACTGCAAAGGATCTGAATAGACAGTCTTCCAAAGAAAATATATATATGGCTAATAAACACAGAAAATGATTCCCAACATCGTTGGCCATCAGAGAAATATAAATCAAAACCACAATGAGATACCACTTAAAACACAACAGCAGCCAGGCGCGGTGGCTCACGCCTGTAATCCCAGCACTTTGGGAGGCCGAGGCAGGCGAATCACGACATCAGGAGATCAAGACCATCTTGGCTAATAACGTGAAACCCCATCTCTACTAAAAATATAAAAAAATTAGCTGGACGTGGTGGTGGGCGCCTGTAGTCCCAGCTACTTGGGAGGCTGACGTAGGAGAATGGCATGAACTCGGGAAGTGGAGCTTGCAGTGAGCAGAGATCGCACCACTGCACTCCAGCCTGGGCAACAGAGTGAGACTCCATCTCAAAAACAAAAAAAAACAAACAAAAAAACAAACCCACAATCGAATGGCTATAATAAATATAATGGACAACAAGAAGTGTTGGTGATAATGTGGAGAAACTGGAAATCTCATAAAGGCTGAAGCAGGAGAATCACACAAACCCAGAAGGCAGAGGTTGAAGTGAGCCGAGAATCGCACCATTGCACTCCAGCCCGGGTGACAGTGCGAAACTCCATCTCAAAAAAAAAAAAAAGGTTGCCTAGTGCTGGGGGATATGAGGAGGCTGGAATATAAAATAGTGCATGCTGAGTGTGGTGGCTCACACCTGTAATCCTAGCACTTCAGGAGGCTGAAGTGAGAGGATCATGTGGGCCCAGGAGTTCAAGACCAGCCTGGGCAACACAGGGAAATCCTGTCGCTACAAAAAATAAAACTAGCTGGGCATGGTAGTGTGTGCCTGTAGTCCCAGCTACTTAGAAAGCGGAGGCAGGAGGATCACTTGAGCCTGAGAGGTTAAGGCTGGGCTGAGTGGGACTGTGTCACCATACTCCAGGTTGGGTGACAAAGTGAGACCTTTCTCTTTTTTTGTATTTTTAGTAGAGAGGGGTTTTACTATATTAGGCAGGCCGGACACTTTCTTCAAAAAATAAAATAAAATAAAATAAAATAAAATAAAATAAAATAAAATAGTGCAGCCACTTTGGAAAAACACTTTAGTTCCACAAAAGGTTAAAAAAATAGTCATCAAATGACTCAACAATTCTACTTGTAGGTATATACTCCAGAGACATAAAAACGTAAGCCCACACAAAAACTGTTACATACATACTCATGGCAGCATTATTCTTAATAGTCATAAAACACAAACAATCGAAATGTTCATCACCTGATAAACACAATATGGTATATCCAAATAAAGGTATTATTCATCAATTAAAAATAAATGAAGTATTGATACATGGTACAACATGGATGGACCTTGAAAACAATCTAAGTCAAGGAGACCAAACTACATATTATATGATTCCACTTATATGAAATGTCCAGAATAGGCAAATTTATAGAAATAGAAAGTAGATTAATGGTTATCTAGGCTGGGCACGGTGGCTCATGCCTGTAATCCCAGCACTTTGGAAGGCCAAGGTGGGCAGATCATGAGGTCAGGAGTTTGACACCAGTCTGGTCAACATAGTGAAACCCCGTCTCTACTAAAAATACATAAAATTAGCTGGGTGTGGTGGTGTGTGCCTGTAATTCCAACTACTCGGGAGGCTGAAGCAGGAGAATCACGTGAACCCAGAAGGCAGAGGTTGAAGTGAGCCAAGAATTGCACCATTGCACTCCAGCCCGGGCGACAGTGCAGAACTTCATTTCAAAAAAAAAAAAAAAAGGTTGCCTAGTGCTGGGGGATATGAGGAGGTTGGAGGATGATGGCTTAGAAGTATAGGGTATCTTTTTGAGGTAATAACAATGTTCTAAAACTGCCTGTGGTAATGGTTGCAAAACTCTGTGAATATACCAATAGCCACTAAATTTTAAACTTTAAATAAATCATATTACATGTGAGTTATATATCTCAGTAAAGCTGTTTTTAAAAAAGTCTAGAAGAGGAAGACTGACTCAGGAGCCTCTCTCTCTGCAGGAGAGAAAGCTATCCTCTTTTCTCTTTTGCCTGTTAAACCTCCACTCTTAAACTCAAAAAAACCCCAAAAAAGTCTAGAAGAGAATACTGTTTTTTAGCTAGTCTTGTGTGCATGCAGCTTATAAGCATTTGGCTGTTGAAACGGAAAGCTGTAGTACAAGTCAACTGTGGCATTTTTTATTTTTTTTGGAGACAGTCTCTCGCCCTGTCGCCCAGGCTGGAGTGCAATGGCCAGATCTTGGCTCACTGCAAGCTCTGCCTCCCGGGTTTACGCCATTCTCCTGCCTCAGCCTCCCGAGTAGCTGGGACTACAGGCGCCCGCCACCTCGCCCGGCTAGTTTTTTTTTGTATTTTTTAGTACAGACGGGGTTTCACCGTGTTAGCCAGGATGGTCTCGATCTCCTGACCTCGTGATCTGCCTGTCTCGGCCTCCCAAAGTGCTGGGATTACAGGCTTGAGCCACCACGCCTGGCCACTGTGGGATATTTAATGCACCACAGACATCTACCCACCACAAAAGGTAACCAGTCAATAACTACCTTTTTTTTTCTTTTAACATTAATCTGGAGAATAAAGGCAAACAGAAAAACTACTGGAAAGGAGTGGTTAATATGTATATCCCCATATTCCCATCTTATGAACCAGCAGGATGATTTGTAAGTAAAAAATTAGGTCAGTCTAAAATCATGATCCACAGATATCTCAGCAAGTTCAGTAAGTCCAAAAACAAAAAAGTGTATCAAAGAACCCTACTGGGCTGAACAGATTAGTCAAATGACACAGAAGGTCAACTCAGCATTTTATACTTACCCTTCCTTCAGTATCAATCATTATTTCTGACATCTTAAAAGTGACTTTAGGATTTGCTGTACCTTTAGAAAGAGACATAAATGAATAGTAATGTTTATCCAAAATTGCTCAAATTAATTTTGCCAGATCAATTCTCTTTACACTTTAGTTAAGTCAAGAATAATGTATAGGTCGGGTGCGGTGGCTCATGCCTGTAATCCCAGTACTTTGGCAGGTTGAGGCAGGTGGCTCACCTGAGGTCAGGAGTTTGAGACCACCTTGGCCAACATGGTGAAACTCCATCTCTACTAAAAATACAAAAATTAGCCAGGCGTGGTGGTGTGCGTCTGTAATCCCATCTACTCGGGAGGCTGAGGCAGGAGAATCACTTGAACCTGGGAGGCAGAGGTTGCAGTGAGCTGCCATTGCACCACTGCCCTCCAGCCTGGGTAACAAGTGCGAGACTCCGTCTCAAAAAAAAAAAAAAAAGAAAGAGATATAAATGAATAGTAATGCTTATCCAAAATGACTCAAATTAATTTTGCCAGATCAATTCTCTTTACACTTTAGTTAAGTCAAGAGTAAAGTATATGCCAGGCACAATGTCTCATGCCTGTAATCCCAGCACTTTGAGAGGCCAAGGCAGGCGGATCACTTGAGCTCAGGAATTCAAGACCAGCCTGGCCCACATGGTAAAACCCCATCTCTACAAAATATACAAAAATTAGGCAGGGCGCAGTGGCTCACGCCTGTAATCCCAGCACTTTGGGAGGTCGAGGCAGGTGAATCACCTGAGGTCAGTGTGAGACCAGCCTGACCAACATGGTGAAACCCCATCTCTACTAAAAATACAAAAATTAGCCAGGCGTGGTGGCACGCGCCTGTAATCCTAGCTACT